ATATGAAGCATTATATGGTAGGCGATGCCGTTCGCCAGTTGGCTGATTTGAACCGGGAGAGGCTCGGTTGTTGGGTACCGATTTGGTACAGGATGCCTTGGATAAGGTCAAGAGTATTAAGGATCGACTTCACATAGCTCGGTCTAGGCAAAAGAGTTATGCCGACTATAAAGTTTGTTATGTTGAATTCATGGTTGGAGAAAGAGTGTTGCTCCGGGTTTCACCAATGAAGGGTGTAATGAGGTTCAGAAAGAAGGGCAAGTGGAGCCCTAGGTATATCGGACCCTTTGAAATTCTTGAAAGGGTGGGTGAAGTAGCCTACAGGTTTGCACTACCACCTAGTTTATCAGCAGTTCATCCGGTGTTCCATGTGTCTATGCTCCGAAAATATCATGATGATCTGTCCCATGTGTTAGATTTCAGCTCAGTCCAACTGGACAAAGATTTGACTTAATGAAGAAAACTCGATAGCTATTCTAGCCCGGCAGGTCCGACAGTTGAGGTCTAAGAGTTATCCATCAGTTCGAGTACAATGGAGAGGTCAGTCGGTTGAAGCATCTACCTGCGAGTCTGATATCCATACCTTTTCACCAGCCCAAGTACTTTTTCTAATTCCGTTCGAGGACGAACGTTTGTTTGAGAGGTGGAGAATGTGATGACTCGATAGGTCATCTTTAAATTTAACATTCAGCTATGTGCTTCGAGACCTCAAATAGTACCATTCAGCATTTCTCGACTTGCATGTGCAGTCCGTATATTTTTTCGAAAATCTTTTATGTGAAAAATTGATAAAAATATGAAATAGTGCTTTAAAACTCACTTAAATTGACTTTGATCAATATTTAGAGCAAATGGACCTGGATCAGTGTTTTTACGGTTCCGATGGTTCATATCATGATTTGGGACTTAGGCGTATGTCCGAAATCAAATTTGAAAGTCCCTAACTCGAATTATCTCCATTTGACGAAAACTAGACACTTAAAGGTTAAAGATTTCCAAAGTTTGACCGTAGATTTGTCTTTATCGATATCGGACTCGAATTGAGATTTCGAGAGTTGGAATAGCTCAGTTATGTCATTTGGAACTTACTTGCAAAATTTGAGTTTATTCCGGATTGCTTTGACATGTTTCGGCACGAGTTATAGAATTAAAAATTTCATAATCTCATAAGTCTGAATCGAGGTATAAATTGTAGTTTCGACGTTATTTGACCTGATATGAGACCCTGACTAAGTCTGTATTATATTACGGGACTTGTTGGAATATCCGTACGAGGTCCCGAGGGGCTCGGGTGAGTTTCAGACGAGTTTCGGACCATTTTTGTTCAAGACCACTGGTCTGGTTCTGGTGCGTCGCACCAGCGCAATTTTGGCCGTAGGTGCGTGTTCGCTTCTGTGGAGGTAGTGTTGCTTTTTCGACTTTGAAACCAAGGAGAAGCTTCGCTTATGCGAAGCTTGGGGCGCAGATGTGATGCCATGATCGCAAATGCGATCCTTCATGCTTCTGCGATTTCCCTTGCGCTTCTGCGCAGTCGCATCTGTGACGCTAAGGTCCGCGGATGCGGTCCTCTGACTGGCTGCCTTGGTTCGCAAATGCAAGATTTTCTCGCAAAAGCGACCTCGCAGATGCGAAAAATTTAGTCCGCAAATGCAAAAAATGCTGGACAGAATACATAAAATCGAGTGTTTGTCATTTTTACTCATTTTTGAGTTTTAACTATCGGATTTGGGCGATTTCAATCGAGGTTTTCACAAGTTCGAACTGGGTAAATATTCCTTATCCTATATTGTTTATATTTCATGATTCCATACTTATTTACATCATGAATCCGTGAATTTAATGGGAGAAAATAAGATTTTTGTAAAATCTTCCAAAAATGTAAAATGAAGATTTGAAAGGCAATCTGGTGTCGAAATTCAATAATTTTTGTATGGTTGAACTAGTATCAGAATGGGTGTTTGGATTCCGTGATTTTTCATCGGGTTCTAAAAAGTGGGCCCCATAATGACTTTTGGTTGACTTTTCCGAAAATGACTTAAATTAAATCTCTTTCGAATTGTGAATAATTTCTAAAGCTTAAATTGAATTGTTGGTAAGTAAATTATTAGGTTTGATTGATTTGGAGAATAATTCGAAAGGCAAAGTCGTGGTCGAGTGATCACTTGAATTGCGAAACAAGGTAAGTATCGTGGTTAACCTTGACTTAAGGGAATAGAACCCTTTAACTAAATTATGTGAATTTCATGTGTAGCGAAGTATAGACGACGTGACGAGTGTCTATACATCGTCAAATTGCTTGCTTCCATGTCTTTACGTATTTCATTAATTATCTGATTTCATGAATTAATTGTTATATTACTTGATTCTGTTAGTTTCATTGCCTACTATTATGCCTTGATTTCATACCTTAATTGCTACCTGCTTATTTGATTTTTGTGCCATAATTGCTACTTGATAATTTGTATTTCATATATTAAATTGCCTATCTCCTCCGTGATTCTACACTTAATTGTTACTTGCCCATATTTGTTTCTTACAAAATTTATAATTGTTGTATACTTTGTTGCCTAATAATTTCTTATTAATTGTGGCATTTATTGAAGTAGCCTTACGTATAAGTGTTGTTAATTTATATTGTTGGAGCAGGTTGCACGCCGCAACGGGATTTATTTAAAAGATTATATCGTTGGATTGGGTTGCACGCCACAACGGGTTTTATTTTAAGTTTATATTGTTGGAGCAGGTTGTATGCTGCAACAGAATTTAATTGAAGGATTATATTATGGGAACGGGTTGCACGGCGCAAAAGAATAATAAAAGAAATAATTGATTGTGACTTCCGAATTGACCTTGATTACGGATATAATTTACTTATTTTACCTTTATTATTATTATTATTATTATTATTATTATTATTATTATTATTATTATTATTATTATTATTATTATTATTATTATTATTATTATTATTATTATTTTGCGTACAGGTTAATGTAAGCGACCTGCCTTAGCCCCGTCACTACTTCGTCGAGGTCAGGCTTGGCATTTACAAAGTACATGGGGTCGGTTGTACTCATACTACACTCTGCAGTTCTTGTGCAGATATCAGAGTTGGTCCCCTTCAGCTATCAGAGGAGACTTGAGGTATAGTTGCACGACGTTCGCAGCTCTGCAGTCCCCTTCTACTTTATTTTAGTTGTGTGCTTTCTTTCAGACAACTTTATTTTATTCAGACCCTTATTTGTATTATTCTAGAAGCTCGTGCACTTGTGACTCCAATTTTTGGATGGTATTTCGACATCGTTATTATTTTGGTTTGTTCACTTTAATTCAAACATTATTCCAATTGTTTGGCTCCTTTACTATTTGATTTAAAATGAATTATAAAAAATAGTTAAAATTATTCTAACGTTGGCTTGCCTAGCAAGTAAAATGTTAGGCGTCATTACGGTTCCGACGGTAGGAATTTTCCGATCGTGACAACACCAAAGATCAATATCACGATTCTTAGTACAGACACTTAGTTAGTTATCCTTTGTTTTAATTAGCCAATCAATAACTGTCTAGTAACACTTTATTGGTGACTTATCAACTTTAGATGTTAAAAAAACCTTAAAGAAAACATTCACAAATCAATTCAAAGACATAATAAAACGACGAAAACCCTTGAAACAATGATTATTGTCGATGCCGCCTCAGATTCGAAAGCAGTACAAATTATAATGGCGAATTGAAAGGGATTCGATAATCACGTCGGAACAGTTATACATACATCATAATCTAGTCTTTCTTTCACAAAAATTATCCGTTTAAATATCTTGGCTCTGATACCATATGTAAACATAAACTTTAATTCATACCAGGATCTTAAACATGATAATCTTACATATAACCGTTACAGAAAACATACCTAAAGCGGAAGCCATTATCACAAAGTGGAAGCGTTAATTGGAATTGGTTTCTAGCCCCTTTCCCTAACTTTCATTACTGTCGCCTTTAGTGATGGAAAAGAAGAATAGAAAATACGGTAACCCTAATGGGTGGGGAGATGACCAATTTATAGCGGTTCTCATTTAACCCGGTACGTCCATCAAGTAACCGATCGCATGGACAAAATTTGTCTTTTTTTACATATTAATTATGGGCTTTATTATATTTGGTCATATACATAATAGGAAAATCTTACGGTCAGATCTACCTATGTGCCAAATGTGCCACTTACAAATATCTTTGCCTCTAGTAGCTACTTAGTTACGTACCAATTTTCTAAATATGGAATATTCTTGTCCAAGTACGTGAGCAATAGTTAGAGTTTGCCACTTTGCCTATGCTAATCTTTCGTTTTCCTTAATTTAGAATTTCTCAAATCCGATTCGTAACCCTAAAAGGTTAACCTCAAACCAACTTTTGTGCCTTTTATACGGCACTATCAATCTCATGCATAATTTAAAAGTAATGTTAGAGGGAGGATTTAAAGTTTATGGAATCTAAATTTGTCATCAAATTTGTAATACGTTAATTATTGAGTTTGCAATTAAATATTTATACATATTTAATAGGAGTAATAAAATTTTCCAATTCAAATATAAGGTCTAAATAAAATCTGCTGAATTAAATCGTCCAAATATGTAGCTGATATTGTAGCTCAAGAGCTAGCAACTAATTCTCATATTTTCTTTCGGATCATAAGATTTGAATTAGACAATGAATAAGAAGAGACATCAATCTTTCGTTATAAAAGGAATATCACATTTCTATCTTTTAAAAAATTAACTTGAATTTCTCTTTTTATCCGATTTTTTTTTTAAAATGTTATAGTATATATAAGATCAAGTTTCAAAAATATTATAGTTACACAAATATTATGGTATACTCCTATTTAATATCAAAGTTTCAAAATTTTTTCTTTCGTTCGTAAATTTCATAAGACGATGAGAGTAGCTAGTTGGATTTGAAAACATGGTAAACGGATATTAGTCACACGGATATAAATCTAGATATAGAGAAAGTCATCGTTCAAATTCTTCTTTCCAATTTCCTACGATTTCATGTTAGATATTTATATTATGGACAATAAGGGAAACAAGAAAGATGCAGAAAGAACCACTTAGGAAAACGAATCCTATGTTGCTGCTTGCTAAACCTGCGAGCTCAACCAACTGCAATACCAAGGAAGGTTTCTTGCATTTGTTGTCGTACTCCAATATATAATTCCAACCATTTTCACGTGTGTATGCTATGTTGGTCAACTTCTCTTTCTTCCTTAGTAGCTCTATTCTCTGCCGTAGAGTATTTATATTTGAATCAACAATATTAGTGGACTTCCCTGCAATTTTAGAAATGAAGAAATCAAAATTATGTCTTCCCAATTTGTTCGTTTCTTATTCCATTTGGAATCTAGGGCTTCCATAATTTAACGGAGTGGTGAACTTAGGGTCAGTTCAACTAAAATCACTATTTTTGGTTGAGTACCTATATATATATATATAAGATATTTGGTCCATCAATTTTTTGTGGTCTTGTTGTCATACACCAAATTTTCAAAACTAAGAAAAACTTTTGAAACTTGTGATCTAAAACAAGTATATGTATACCGCTATAGATCATCTCATTAAGAAAAAAATAAAAACTTTTGAGTTAAATTATTTTTAAATAAAAAATTCCTTTTATAAACGAGCTAAAATTGAAAGTGTGTTACAATCATAGAATAAGATGACATCCATTTTAACGTCATTTACTCTAAATTCTAAATTTGCCTCTAATCGTAGAACTCCAAAACATGATCAAACTAGGTAATACAAAATATGAGAAGCTAATATATCTTGATGTAAAAGTACTAAATCTAAAATAAAATGGTGGGATACGCAGTTTGCTTACCTTCACCGTGGAAACTCCGAGACATGATTATATTATAGTTTTGTAATTTAGGCATACGCAGCTTGCTTAAGCATCAGACATAAGGGGGAGCGACAGCCATATTTCATAATAATAACACTGATTGAATATTTGTCTAGGAGATGGTACCACTTATGTATATATAGAGCTCCAAGTTTTATCTTAGTCCACTTGGCTCGGGTATAACACACACTATCTGTGCATATTTATTAAATTATTATCTGAACAAGTTTACTAACAGCTACAGCTATGTGTCAAGCTAGTGTAAAGAGATTGCTCCTTTTTTAAAAAGAAATTCCAAATGTTAAGTGGGAGCTTATGGAGAATCTTATGTCCGAGTTGGAACTTTTAATATGCATGTTAAACTATTACTAATAATAATAATAGTTTTGAATATCAAACGGCTACTTAATGAAACAACAACAACGTATAATTCATTAGTGGAGTTTGGGGAGGATAATGTATACGCAAATCTTACCCCTACCCTGAGTAGAGAAGTTGTTTCCGATAGACCTCGGCTTCCTCCCTCCAAGAACTCCCCACCTTGCTCTTGAGTTGACTCGAACTCACAACCTCTTAGTTGAAAGTAGAGGGTGTTCAATACTAGAGCAACTCACTCTTGTCTCACTTAACGAAACATAACGACTTAAATTAGCATAATTAGAAAATCTTGACATAGAAAATTCATTATTCTGATTTCCACACTGCTATTCTTTATTTTTATTTTTTTTTAATTTGCTTCATTATAAAAGGAGATGCGAGGGGAACAACATAAATCACTTGCTACAGCCCCGTGGTGACAACTCATCGCGATTACAAGGATTAAAGAGATTAAGATATAGTCATATAACACGAAGTTCTAAGTAAGAACTTGCTCACCAATAATTGATACGTGTAACTAGGGCGGTGCTACGGTCGAATTATAATATATATATAAAAGTTAAAAAAATATTTGTTTTTGTATAAATAGTAGATGTTGAATTTCTCAGTCTTGTTCCTGTGTGTACTTTTTAATATTTCGAATACCCTTATCAAAAATTCCAACACCGCCATTGGTGTAACACTATTCATCCCAAATTCTGATGTCTAACAGTTTGGTAATCCGATAATATTTAGTATCACTCCATAGAGATGATAGAGGTTTTAGGCCATCGTAGCCTTTTATAATGTTGAATTTAAGAAAATATTTTTTTAGATTTCTTACGCATAAAAGAAAGATTTTTTATATGTAAAAATAAATCTCTCATGTATAAAAAAAGAAATGTAGTCATAAAACTAAATACAAGTTTGTAATGAGCCACAAAATCAATTGATCCCGTAAATAGCCTTAGTTGATATTTTAGAAGTCTATGGATTTCCTGAAAAAGGGTCTGTAGATTAATTATCTCTTTAATTTACCGGTTTCAAGACATGATTGAGACAAAATGTTTGACGTAGTATCAAGTTATAGTTTGGATTTATAATAATATGAATGTAGATATTAGTATAATTTCTACATCCAGGATGGCATGAAAATCCCAATATATTACGTTTCTGGATCGGATTACGAAAGTTACCACCTTTATTTTTACCTATCATGACTCTTATGTATATTTTTAACTTATCATTTTCAAAAAGTTCAAACACTTGCATTAAATTATTAGTCCATACACCTTGTATGGAACAGATCACCTAAAAGAACAAAAGTGAAAACGGAAAGGTTAAAAACTATCATCAAAACAAAGACGTACGGAAATAAAAGAGATTATTAGTTGCTTCTTTTCATAAGAAGTTGACATCTGTACAAGTTTTCTATATGATCTGTTAATTGTGCCATGCAAGCCAAAAAAGTGCATGTTCAGAGGCAACAGACCCAGCCAATTAGTAAAAGATTTGTAATGTCTGATTACTAATTTTTAAATATGTCTGATTTCTAGTTGGCGATTAAAGATATGTATAGTTTGGCAATTCATCACCACTATCAAATACCCAGCAAGTGCTACAAGATCCCACCAAATCTTGTTATGTAAATAGGTATGACAAGTGGCAAATTGTTAATCGCAGCATCATCCTGATAAGAATCCTCTATCTTTTACATTACTTTTTTTTTTTTTGGTGGGTTAAGAGTTCTCTTTTCAAGAAATGCATGTTCGTAAAATTGAGTACTATACTGTGCCTAAAGCAGTATTGCTGTCTAGTTTTTGTATTGTATCTTAATAAATATAGTTCAATGAAAAAGAAAGATTAAAGCCTTATAAAGAACTAAATCTATCATTTTTATTTTCATCTTTAATTTCTCAAAAACCTTATGTGAGGGGCCTACTGAGATATCCATAATTGAAGCAGTAAGGAAGTGGAAGTTCATGAGAGACGATATTTACCGAAAAAGATGATCTTTTTCGAAGTGAAATTATCGAAGTGGAAGATGGACAATAGAAGATAACGGAGTGTACTTAACAAGCATAAGATTCATTCAATCTTTTCGCCTTTTTGCATGAAAATATTTTCAGCTTTAATATTTTCATAATATAGTTCATACATTTTTTCCAGAGACAGTTTATTCAATTTTACTTCACCTTTTTTGTTTTTTTAAAGGAAATAGACTATTGTTCAGAAAGATGCTCAAGACATTTGCATGCTCGATGAAATACTAGTATTTGTTAATCCTAAATTATAAAGAAACAACTATAAATAGGCGTAATAGAATGATGATGTTTGATACTTCAATACCACGGTGATTTGTATGGTGCCCAATTTATCGCGTACACATATTATAGAAGACTTGGTTCTTCTATGTGTTCTTTATACTACTGTTGCGGAATAATAAATGCAGAAAGTAAAGAATACAAGTATTTGGTGAGAAAACCACGATCTACTACCCACTAGGATATTTCCCAATACTTCACTATATCACTGAGCCAAAAACAACATTTACAAAACTCTTTATAAACCTAAGGATTACCTCTAACCCTTTGTGGCATCCAGCCTCTAGTTGTTACGACAACTTCAAGTTAACTATAACTTGAATACAACACTCAGAGTACCTAGTACAATTGCTTCTAAATAAAGCTGAAAGGTACAACTCAAAAGTCATACTACAATGAAACTAGAATAAAACACTGACACTTGGAACTGGTTCTTCTATCTGGTTCATGTAGCTTCATGTTCGCACACTTGAATCACACAGGAATTGCTTGCAAAATACCGCTATTTTGCTCTCAACTCTCGTTTAACTTCAGCGTTTGTGCATACCTATAAAATGAGAACATCCTGAAATATATAGAGTTAGTAGAATAGGAAATAACTAGAGTTCTAATGCTATACTCTTCCTTGGTGGAAGAGTTCTAGTTATCTTCAACTTCTAACTCCTCCCTTATCTAGGATAGAGTTCTCTTCAAGTAAGGAGTCGTTCTCCTTATCACTTATGCAACCTTTTCGTTAAGGAGATATCAAATATAACCACTTAAGCTTATCTCCTTCACGTGCATGCCTTGTGCTCGAATCTACCCGTATCTGTGTACACAGTGTATGGACCTGGTTCATGCTTGAGTTCGTTTGTGAATCATCAAAACAAAATTCACTTAGGCCAACAAATGAAATAACAACACCTTATGAGATTAGGAGAATAACTAGCTAGATCAAAAGATTCCATAAAACTATTTGTATAGTCGCTCCAAAAAATAATAGCCGATAAAATATATATTTATTTTATACTAATGAGTAATGTATTTATTTTATACCTAATCAATATATTATTTTGTGTATTTGACTAGCATATATAATTATTTTTGACGTGTAACTTGCTATCGAAAGTTTTGCCCTGAATTAGCCCAAATAACAGCCCACTCAACCACTTAAACTAAAAATAGTCGGTTATGAGCACCAAAACTGTTCTATAATAGGCGACTGAGACCTTCTTATTTTTAGTTACAAAAGGATTCAGGGAAGAGAGAAAGAGAAGGTAAAAATTGAATCTACACCTACTTTTAGACCTGATACTATTTTTCCAGAAGTAGCAGACTATTCAATATGGCTTGGCCATGTCTGCACGTATTAGGACAACACTTCCTTTGACCTTAAGATTCTAAATACTTCTTTTTTTGGTAACTAACTTTTGTATTAATCACCAATAATAACTGTACAAATTCGTAACTAGCCTCCTCAACTAGCTATCATACTTACATATAAACCTCAGAAACTAGCTAGGAATCTCTCTAGAATCTATAGCTATGTACTAGTTTAACTATTCTAGGATGAGCTTGTACGCAGCATACACATGCTATCTCCTTTGCTACTCGTTCCCATCCTACACTTTCCTTCTCAAATATTCTCTTGTTTCTCTTAATCCATATACAATGTACTGCTTCTGTGTATAACATTTGGAAGAGTTGAGCAGCTTGTGACTTCCCTTTAGCTCTCCTGGTCACCTCTTGTACATGATGTTCTCAGTCCCCCACTGTTATGTTTTGGATGTGCGTCCACTGCATTAACTTGTTCATCACTGCCTTCATGTACTCACACTTCACGTATAGATGATCTCTAGATTCCTCTGCTTGCTGGCATAGACTACACTTGCTCTCTATATCCATACCCCATCTGATCAGCCTATCTGAGGTAAATAGTTTGTTTTGAATTTGCAATCATAGTGTAAAATGAGCCTTTGGTCTTCCTGCGTTTCCAAACAGCATACACTTCCATGGAATCCTGGATTGTTCTCCCAGCAAATGAAGATAGATTTGGCCAATGACACTCTTTCTTGGGTGTATGTGTATTGATAGAATCCCTAGGTTATTCTTTGCTTCCATGATTTTTCTCACCATCCAGCTTGCTTGCTTAGGCACTGTTACATGTTCCATCTGTTGTTATTTTATATAGTATGTATGTATCCATCGTATCCACGTCTTATACTTCTTGTTTGCAAGATCCCAATACAGCTTCATCATGGCTGCCTTGTTCCATAGTCTTATATTTATCAAATTCAATCCTCCAACACTTCTTGGGGTGCAAAGTTTGTCCTATGCTACTAATGCTTTCCTTGTTATTACATTGTTTCCCGACCATAGATAGCACCTACAATAAGCTTCCACTGTTTTCATCACCTTAAC